AATTATGCCTTATAAAAAGGATAAAGCGGTCGCTGCAAATATATTCCGGTTAACAAATCCGAAGTCGAATCCCACAGAGAATTAACCTATCAATCACAGCTATTGGACTTACACAAATTCACGTATTCAATCTTCGGAGATATTTAAGTAATAGATTGGATGTTTACTAACTAAATATTACGTAATAAAAATGCAGTAATTAAGGACTAACTATGAACGGTTTGTAAACAAGAATTGGAATGATCTAAGGTTCCGACTTCACCTATTGTCGGAATCCTTTCCGCTATGTTTGCTATAAATTTGCCTAAGTCTTCTCTATCAATCATGAGCACTCTGACTGTCGTAACTCTCTCCCGGGTAATTACAACAATATACTAGACATATTCTCCCGAATTACGCTAGCTAGCCTTAATTACAACTCACTTAGATCGCACCCAAGGTTTCATTATCCCTAATCCCGCCTTTGAACCTTTCATATTGATCCCTCATATACGTTAGGAGTGGTGTTGTTCAACAACTACCTAAATATGCACTATCTCCCGAGTAATACATACTAAATAGGCACAGTCGATTAGGGGCCCTTCAATCAACAGCAAATCACAATATAGTTGAACAAATAGAGAAAATACTATGGCAAATCTATATTAACATAACAAGAAAATCATCCTCCAATAGGTTCCATCAAAACCCTAGATTAGAAGTTTAGATGCATAATCGTTTTCCCAATCATAACAATAGAATGTATCATCAATGATAAAAACAAGAAGGAAAGGAAAAAACTCTATGCCGAATCTTCCGCCTTGCTTCTTGCCCGTTCTTGCCTTCAAAATCCCATCAAAAACCTCGATGCTCTTTTTTTGAGCGAGCTGGGCTTCTTATAGGTCAAGGAGAGTCGCCTTTGAACTTACAATTTTACCCCTGAACTAAAAATGCTCGGAGGGACGTGCGCGGCCGCGGATGGGCCGCGCGTATTGCATTCTGTTCTGCCTGATGAGCGTGGGCAGTGCGCGGCCGCGGATGGACCGCGCACCTGGAGAATATTTCTGCCTTCAGTTTTCTTTCTTCTTTTGTGCAAGCTCACCTCCAATTGGGCTTCCTTGTTCAAGATTAACTCCAAAATACTCTTTAATGTCCTCATAGCCAGGAATTGCTCCTACAAAGCACAAAGTTCTTAATTAGAGAAATTTGTTATCATTTAACATTCATATATCAATAAAGTATAGTTATGTTGGAGCGTAAATGGTAGCTAAACTACATAATTATAGCCTACTATCAACACCCCACATTTAAACCATTGCTCGTCCCCGAGCAATCAAACCATACTCTACAGAGGCCTACTTCACTAAGCAACTTCTCTAATTTATCACACCAAGAATATTTCATATGGATTGAGCACAGTAGTGTAACATCTTCACCTCAAGAGTTGACTCCCATAGGCCACTCAATATTCCTAACTTACTCACTTACTCTAACACAGAGGTCAACATTTACCTTTCCTTCATGAATCAAGTGCCCTCACACAACAAATGGGAGTAGTTCCACGCACAATAAAAGTTAAGAACGATTAGGAACTCAAGATAGAAAGAATTCACTCACTCTCCGAAAGAATATTCATACGCCACAAAAGATGCACCATAAGCTTGCCCGTAGTGTAATACTCTACTAATCGAGCTCATTAAGTCTAGGATCAAGTAGGACTTTAATTGGTTGTAATGTAGGCTGAGGGACGAGTAGGATACATTTAAATATAAGAGTGACTACACCTCCCTGAGCACTTTAATACATATATTTTAACATTTAAACCCCACTTATGTCAAACCAAAACTCCACCTTCACATTAATGTCTATTATCCCATCCTTCTTTAAGCACAATTACATCAAGGACCAACACTTGTCAAGGAATATATATATATATATATATATATATATATATATATATATATATATATATATATATATACACACACACACACACACACACACACACACATGGAACATGACTGAACAAAATTACTATTTCGCTTTGCAAACACACGAGACAAGTTCTAGGCATCAAATGCAGTGCACAGATACAACAATCCTCACACACACATGGAACATGACTCACTCCAGATTGGATTATCGAAACACTCTAGTCAGGGTACTTAAGCCAAATTAAGATCACACAATTTAAGGCACTTTAACAAGAATCAACAATTGAGCCTAAGCGTCATACTAAAGTACTCACTGTATTCAAGGCATAACGACGTTAAGAGATCTTCTTTCCATATCAGCCCATAGCCCAAGAGTACCTAACTAAAAATTAAAAACTAACTACACCCGGTTCAAACAAAACCCATGGAAAAGAACCGCGGTCCAAAGAAATACCAAGGGGGAATTGATACATTACCTACAAAAGAAAATCTTTTTTTTCTTTTTCTTTTTCGACTTAGACCCTCAAGAAACCCGTCGAGTGATGTCCATCGTTGGGACAAGTCAAAAATTTGAATCTATTTCACACATTCACACATTTAGCAAAGCTAACCAAAGATCAAAATCAAGTCACAGTCCTATATATATACACATACAAACAACGTATCCCCCACCCCACTCTTAAATTGATGGCATGTCCCCATGTCATACAAAATAAAGTAATGCAAGGTAAAGCAAACTTCCCTGGTACATCAATCTGTGTCGGAGACAGTGTCGGGGTCGAGATGGTACGCCCTTCCTAGCGCACACAGCCAAGCCATGATCTTCTTGTCTGATTTAGCATTTTGGGTGGCCAGTGCATCCACCCGAGCCCCCAAGTCGGTGACAAAAGTGCGCAACCCCGCCATTTCATGCTCTAAAGCTATCATCCGCGTGGTCCGTCCTACCACAGATGTTCCCTCTACCTCTGCAACTTGCTCATGTGTGGGAGACGCTGCCTCAACTTCATCCTGCCTTCCATCACCCTCCTCTGGCGCACCAGAATCATCACTATTCGCACCTCCAGGTACCACAGGGTCCTTCCCAATGGTCACTTTATCCGCCCGAAAACTTTGTTTCTTTCTTGACTTTTCCATCTAAGCTCAAGTTCTCCGGCACCCGTGCTGCCCAACATAATCTAGTGACCAGGGAAGGGAAGAAGAACCCATACCGCCGCATTGGATAGCGGATGAATATCTCTTCGTGGATAATCTTGGCCATGTCAAAATTGTGGCCATTCATGAAGCACCAGATCAATGCAGCTCTGGGACCATTCATTTCAGCGGTGTTGGAAGAGGGGAGCAGGCAGCTATTATTATATACAACCAACACTTCCCTTCAAAGGTGAATGCTGTCGAATGAAACTTCTTCCCTGGTATAATCCACACGACTTACTTGTTGGGCACACATATTGTCTCAAAGAACAAATCGCACGTGGTGAATCGTCTGCCATGGGCTTCGTAGTAGTCCTCCGCCTCAGGGTCCTCCCCGAACATTGGCAGCCGATAAGGTCTACGAATAGCCTCAACGGATGCGTCAACATTTTTCTTTCGCACCGTGCAAACATCGGTCACATGTATAGGAAGGTTCGTGTAAAACTCCCACACAACCATCAAATTAGCTTCATCCGGTTCTTCAAAGAAAATATCGAGCCCGCGCCGGACCAATTCATTGTACATGTTGGGACAGTCATATTGGAGGGACCCTATATCAATACCCATCTCTTGTATGGGCTTCTTTGATGCTTATTGACCAAAACGGTCCTGAGCTTTGCTGGAGATGAACTTGATACTATTGTACGACCGAACATTTGTTGAAGCTCGTGGTCTGGATAATCCCCCGTGACCACTGGAGGATGCACCTGTGGTTCTACATTTCTTGGAGGGCATTATACTACCTGAAACAAATATCACCATCAGCGAAAAACAAGAGATGTGAACCAAGGGCGGTTACTCAGACTTCATCCGCATAATTGGTCACAAATTACATTCACGACTCACTGTGGCATTTAAACGAACACTTGATGTGCACATTCACCCCAAAGTTCCCAAACACCCAACTATACTTGAAATCTACCACACACTTAGCAATGTCCATTCCTACCCAACAAAATCCACTATTCCCGCATGCCAACAACTATACTAGCACACAAAACAACGACAATAGCCACAATGACTTCTACTACCATACAATTGAAAAGAGAAAAATACAAGAAAAACAACAAATTGGCAAAACTAACAGGGAAAATAGAAGCCATGGTACATACCTGAAGATCTTGTGAGTATGGTGTGTGAGAGGAAGAGAAGTTAAAAGAGAGAAGAGAACAGGGGGGGTCGGTGGGGGCAGTGGGGTTCCTTTAGTTCTAGGGTTTTTATTTTGTTTTTGGATTTGGAAGAGAAGGTGAGGGGAATAAGAGAAGCGGGACATTGGGTTAAGGGGGGGGGGGGGGACTATTAATAATTAGCATATAAGAAAAGAATAAAAATAAAATATAAAAAAGACTAACTATAACTACGCCTAACGACGACGCCCAGTGTGCGGTCAGTCTGCGATCGAAGAGCGGCCGCGCACGTGAGGCAGAACAGGTGGAGATTTGGACGGTCCAATCGTAGTCGCGCACGCTGCAACAGTCCTGAGGCAATGTGGTATTCAATTTGCATGGTCTAACCGCGGACCTGGCCTCTGAATTTTTTTTTTCATTCTATCCACTTTACCTGTCACCGGGTTGATCCCTTTACCCCGAGTCCTTCAGCGCCTGGTGTACTTATAACTCGCTCAAACTCACCTGCAAAATTTTCAATACCTAAAAACAAAACAAAAAATCTAACTACACTAAATTCAACTACTAATTGGGTTGCCTCCCAACGAGTGCCTTAGTTAATGTCGTGGCACGATGAATACAACAGTTTAATGGATTGCCTCCCATGCAGCGCCTGATTTAACGTCACGGCACGACGCAGGTAAGCACATTTAAGGTATGCTCAACATCGGAGGCTCGATCAAATAAATCACCGACACTACCTTTGTTTCATCCATGCCCGCATAATGTTTTAATCGTGTCCATTGACTCTAAACATGCGAGAGTCATTTTCTACAGCTATCTCGACGGCACCAGTGGGATGAATTTCAACTACATGAAATGGACCTGACCATCTTGACTTTAATTTGCCCGGAAATAACCTCAATCTTGAGTTGTATATCAATACCCTATCTCCGGGTTTAAAACTCCGCTCAATAATATTTTTATCATGCATCATCTTCATTCGCTCCTTGTACAATGTGGTGCTCTCAAAAGCGTGATATCTGAATTCATCAAGCTCATGCAACTCCATTACTCTACTTACTCCCGCAGCTTCAATATCGAGATTCAACTGTCTCAACACCCACCAAGCTCTATGCTCTAACTCCACCGGTAAATGACACGCTTTCCCAAATACCAACTTGTATGGCAACATGCCGATTGGAGTTTTGAAAGCGGTTCAATAAGCCCAAAGTGCATCATCTAACTTTCTCGCCCAATCTGTTCTAGTAGCATTCACAGTCTTAGTCATCACACTCTTTATTTCTCTGTTCGAGACTTCCACTTGCCCGCTTGTTTGTGGATGATATGGGGTGGCCACCTTGTGGCACACATCATACTTCTCTAACAACTTCGTGAAGGCTCGATTACAAAAGTGTGTGCCTCCGTTACTGATTATTGCCCTTGGAGTGCAAAATCGGGTGAATATGTTCTTCCTCAAAAATCCAATTACCCTCTTTGTGTCATTTGTAGGGAGCGTTGCAGCTTCCACCCATTTAGACACATAGTCTGCATCGACGAGTATGTACTTGTTGCCGTATGAGCTGACGAAAGGCCCCATGAAACCGATTCCCCACACATCAAATACTTCTACCTCCTGAATTGGGCTCATAGGCATCTCATGTCGGCGGGAAATATTCCCGATGCATTGGCATTCACCACAGCCCTTCACCCATAAGTGAGAATCTTTGAACAATGTTGGCCAATAGATTCCCGACTCCAAGACCTTTGCTGTTGTCCTTACTCCCCCGAAATGCCCACCATATGGTAACGCGTGACATGCCTGCAAAATAGAAGACTAGTCTATCTTGGGGATACATCTCCGGATAATGTTATCAATAAAAATCCTGAACAGATAAGGCTCATCCCAATAATACATGCGACAATCATGAAAGAATTTTTTCTTTTGGACAGAGGAAAGGTCATAAGGAACAATACCGCTTGCCAGGTAGTTTGCAATGTCTGCATACCATGGTGGTTCCTCAAGACTCGTGGCTAGTAGTTGTTCATCTGGGAAAGTTTCCAGAATCTCTTTAACCTCCACCTTATTTTTTAGCTCCTTACAGCCTAGACAAATGATCAGCTGCTTGGTTCTCCGTTCCCTTTCGGTCACGAATTTCCAAATTAAATTCTTGCAGCGGTAGCACCCATCAAATCAGGCACGGTTTTGACTCCTTCTTCTCGATTAAATACTTAAGAGCAGCATGGTCAGTGTAAACAATTAACTTCGAACCTATCAGGTATGACCTGAATTTGTCAAATGGGAACACCACTGCCAGCATCTCCTTCTCGATCACAGTGTAATTTAGCTTGGCTCCACTCAGCGTTCTACTTGCGTAGTATATTGGATGCATGATTTTATCTTTTCGCTACCCAAAAACTGCTCCTACAGCATAGTCACTCGCATCACACATCATTTCAAATGGTTGCTCCCAGTCAGGTGCAACTATGATAGGTGTTGTTACCAGTCTCTTCTTTAATTCCTCAAAAGCTACCCTGCACTCATCAGAAAACACAAAAGGGTGATCTATTTCAAGCAACTTACATAAGGGGTTAGCAATTTTGGAATAATCTTTTATAAATCTCCTAGAGAAACCGGTGTGTCCAAGGAAACTTCTGATTGCTTTGACGGAAGTGGGTGGTGGAAGCTTTTCTATCACATCAACCTTTGCACGATCCACCTCAATACCTTTACTTGACACTAGGTGCCCCAAGGCTATACCTTTCTGTACCATGAAATGGCACTTTTCCCAGTTGAGTACCAGATTAGTCTCGATACACCTTTTCAATACTCTTCTCAAGTTCACAAGGCAATCATCGAATGAGTTCCCCACCATTGAGAAGTCATCCAAGAAAACCTCCATTATCTCCTCTACCATATTTGTAAAGATGGCCATCATGCACCTTGGGAATGTGGCGTGTGCGTTGCATAGGCCAAACGGCATTCTCCGAAAGGCATATATACCATAAGGGTAGGTGAACAACGTTTTCTCTCTATCCTCCGGGACAATAGAAATCTGATTATACCTCGAGTACCCATCCAGAAAGCAAAAGTTAGACCTCCATGCCAATCTATCTGGCATCTGATCAATGAATGGCGGTGGGAAATGGTCCTTCCTGGTAGCCAAGTTCAGCTTCCTATAATCCATACAGATTTGCCAACCCGTGACTGTTCGTGTAGAGATCAATTCGTTCTTCTAATTTTTCACTACCGTCATACCTCCCTTTTTTCGGTGCATGCTGAACTGGGCAAACTCAATTGCTGTCAGAGATGGGGAATATGATTCCTACATCTAACCACTTAATCACTTCTTTCATGTTGGGGTTCAGCCTTCTTTGATATTCTCTGGAAGGTTTGTGCCCATCTTCCAGTAAAATCTTATGCATAGAGAAGGCCAGTCAATCTCCTTGATGTCTGCAATGGTCCACCCAATTGCAGTCTTGCACTCAGTCAGTACCTGCAAAAGTTGTTCTGCCTGCACATCTAACAAACTAGATGAGATAATAACAGGTAAAGTTGAGTTAGGTCCTAAGAATGCATACCTGAGATGAGATGGCAGTGGCTTCAGTTCCAACTCTGGTGGCTCTTCTATCGATGGCTTAGCTGGTGGAGTTTTTCTTTCCTCCAAGTGCAAAGGCTCAAATTCGAGCTCACTTCTCCAAAAACCTAAGCCTTTCAAGAGCAAGTACCCACTCTGCCAAATCCTCTCCATTGGCTTCATCTATGTTCATGAGACAGGCTGCTAGAGGGTCTTTTGTGTTCAATGCCTCATCTTCCTCCTCCAAAACTACATCCACTGCATCTATTAAAGAGCAATTAGCAAATTCACTTGGTCTCCGCATAGATTTCTGCACGTTGAATGTTATCTTTTCATCGTTTAATTGCATTTTGAGCTCTCCAGTTTCACAATCAATTACTACTCTCCCAGTGGCCAAGAATGGTCTTCCCAAAATTATGGGAATTTCCTCATCAACCCGGCAGTCTAGAATAACAAAATCTGTTGGGAACACAAACTTCCCAACCTGTACTAATGCATCATCAAGAATACCAGAGGGCCTCTTCATTGTTCGGTCAACCAGCTATAATAACATAGACGTGGGTCTAGCTCTACCAATGCCTAACCTTTTGTAGATCTCTAGGGGCATAAGGTTTATGCTTGCCCCCAGATCACACAGTGCCTTAGCAAATGCAGAGTTGCCTATCGTGCATGGGACTGTTAAACTCCTTGGGTCAGACAGCTTCTCAGTTATAGGTCTCGTCACAACAACACTGCAGGTCTGAGTCAGTGTAACCGTGGCCAAATCTTGAAAGTCGAACTTGCGGGACATCAAGTCCTTCATCATTTTCGCATAACCAGGCATCTCTTTTAGAGCATCAATCAATGGAATGTTTACCTGAATTTGCTTCAACATCTCCAAAAATTTCTTGTACTGCTCATCTTTCTGATACTTGGCCGATCTCTGTGGGAATGGTGCTGGAGGTCGCTTCTTCCTTGATTTGATTTTTTTCTTGTTTAGGAACTGCTTCTACTATTGGTTTCGGTGCAACCTCAGTCTCTTTCACAACCTCTTTTTCTTTGTTGGCATTTTCTTACGCATGTTGTACCGTCACCTCAGTTAACCCTGCTGGAATCATCTATCTCAATGGGTACTGGCACCAGTGTCTCAGTCAGTCTCCTTCGCGAGCAATTTCTTGCTCCTGATCTAGGTCTCTACCATTTCGGAGACTCACTGCCATAAGCTGCTTCGGGCCCTGCTCTTTTAGATTGATTTGTGTATCTGCAGGTAACGTCCCGTGTGGACGATTATTCAAAGCCATAGGAATCTGTCCTAATTGGATCTCAATATTCTTTATTGCCGATTCATGTGAGTCTACTCTGTCAGTTAGTTTTCCAGTGGACCCAATCACTTGTTGTGTCATTCCCTCAAGTTTAGCAAACCCATCTTCATGTCTCATAGTCAGTTGTTGTTGATGTTATTGATAAGTCTGCTGCTGATTTTGCTGGTTGTAACCCTGTTGCCTTTGGTAAGGCACCACTTGACCCTGTGGTCGCATAGCCCCAAGATTATTGCTGTTGTTGTACTGCTGCTGAGCTGGTCTATATTGTTAATTCTGTTGACCCCAATTCTAACCACCTTGCCTCTGACCCCCATAGTTGGCCACATAATTCATATTCTCCTGATATTGTTGGTTATCACCTTCAGCACTCCATGAGCAGACATATGGTTGATTAATGCATGATGTACATAAACCCCCATTAGTTGCATCAACTATGTATACCTGCTGCTTCTGGCTTGATTCATCAACCTTTTTGGTGAGGATGCTCATTTGTGTCAGTAGAGTGGCCATATTTTCAGCTATGAAGTTAGTTGGATCTAATGACACTGAGTGAACTATAGGAGTGATTGGAGCATTTCTTGTCGTCCATCCAGAATTTTGTGCCATCTTGTCAAGTAGGATCTTGCTTTCTCTGAAAGTTTTGCTAAAAAATGCTCCACCTGCTGAAGCATAAACATTGGCCTTCAAGCTATCTGCCAAACCCATGTAATATCTCTGCCCCAACATCTGCTCCGGAATACCATGATGTGGACACGTAACTAGCAGACCCTTGAATCTCTCCCACATTTCTTGTAACGTCTCTATTGGTTTCTATCTGAAGCTCAATATCTCATCAATTTGTTGAGCAGTTTTGTTGGGTGGGTGAAATTTATTCACAAATTGCTTGACTAATTCCTCCCAAGTAGTGATGGAGTTTATGGCGAGTTAATTAAGCCAAGTCTGATCCACTCCCGTCACGGAGAATGGAACAACAACAGTCGTATTGCTTCTGGTGTCACGTTATATTGCCTCTGCGTGGCACAGATTGATAGGAAATTCTTCAGATGCTGCTGAGGATCTTCAACGTATGACCCAGAGAACAGGTTCTGTAACAAATGTAGCATGTTATTTGTGATTTAGAATGAATCTGCTTGTATCTGAGGGACTACAATAGCAGTTTCTAAGTTGTCAGCGGTGGGTTATGCCCAATCGTACAATGCTACTTGTCGCGCCCCTTTTTCTCACGAAGCGGATTTCGACATTTGACAACTCACGGATTAAGGTGCGTTAGGGCACCTATAGCAAATAACTCAGATTATACTAGTTTGCATCACCAA